CCCTTCTGAAGCCCCCCTGACCGCACAGCCTTAGGTATTCTCCCGAGGACATGTTCCATTCCAGCAGCACTGAGCCAGTCTGCCACCATAACCTGGCCACCATGCTCCTTGCCAGGTGGTTAGGTGGTGAAGGGAGCAGGACTGTAGCCTCAGTGACTCCTGCAGCTCCCTCTTTCCCTCACTTCTCACCTTCCCCTTTCCCAGTAAGAACAAAAACAAGGCACTGTGATCGCTGACAGTTAGGTATGTTTTGGTCCTGGGAAATCAGGAAGTGTTCCAGGGAAAGGGAACTACCAACATGCTGGCTGTGACCCCCAGGGTGGATCGGGACCTGGGGGACAGAAGCTGCAGCCCCTGCACTCCGTCTCTTGGGGGAAGAGCCTGCCCTCACCATCAGCTAAGGTCAGCATCATGCTGACCATGCATCAAAGAAGACTCCGGGGTCCCTGTTCCTTCCTGGGCTTAAGACCAATCAGAAACACCAGGACTCTGAGAAAATGTGAGCAATCTAGAGCCCTGGATACGTGTCACCCTCCCTGGCAGGAACCTTCGAGAAAGAAATCAGCAAGTCCAAAGTAACAAGTGGTCCAGGAGATATTAAACACCGAGTGTGTCCGAATCCTGGAAGGAAGGGAGGCTGCTTGGGAGCAGTGTTGTTGAAAGTGACTCTGCCAGACACCTGCCCTGTGCCAGCCACGTCTACGTGTGGCCTCACTCAGCCCCTGCCCAACCCTCCAGTGTGTAGGGATTAGGATCCCCACGTCACAGATAAAGCTGCTGAAGCCTCAGGAAGCCAGAGAAGCCGCTCCAGGTCACATGGCTATAGGTGTCAGCACTAGGCCTTGAGCCCAGGGGTTCCCTCCCTCCGTCCACAGGCTGAAGGTTCATTCTGCAGAATTCCTCCAGGTTCCACTTCCCCGTTTGCACATCAGAAAAACCTGCCCACCCTCCACTGACCCATGACCACCCCTCCCCACACGTACCCATGCTCAGGCAAATGAGGCTGTCTGCCTTGCCCCTCCTGGCAGTGATGGGACAGGGAGAGGTCCCCACACCTCAGAGCAACTGCCCGCTGGCCCCCGCACTGGTTCAGAGCCAGGATGGTGGCAAGAAGCAGAAACACAGCCCTTCACCTTGGGAGAAAAGATGGCATACTTTAAAGCCCTCCAGACATGCCTATTCACACTTGCTCCCCACACCCCTCCAGGCCCACCCTCCACCTCCTCCGTGGCCCAGTGTCCATCCATGCTCTGGACAGAGGTGGCGGGCAGAGACAGAAGGAGAGCTCCTATCAGCCAGTAGCAGGGCTAGCTAGGCCTTGGGTCCCTTGGCCTCTGCTCAGCTTCCACCCAGGCCTGGCCTCCCCCCTTGCTACCAGACAAGCAGACTGTCCATGAGGAGCTTGAGCCCTGGAATCAGACACCAGATCAGAGTCTGAGCAACCACCGCCAGGTTCCATGGCTTTGGGTGCTGCAGCCTCCTGAACTCAGGTCCTGCCCTGGACAAAGAGATGGGGACCACCCACCTCATAGGAATAGTAGGAGGATTTGATGAGAAGGATGCGTGTCAAGCACTGAGCCCAGTGCCTGGTGCCTGGGAAGCCATCCACGGAGGCACATTGTTTCTGTGATGCTCCACATGCAGTGTGTCAGAGGCTGAGTTGTGCCTGTCTCTCCTGTTGTGCACTGTACCTAGTTCCCCATCCCTTCTCCAAGGCAAACTATTCAGGTGCTACTGATACTGATACTGAGCCAAACTCAGTCACTGACCCTGAGCCTCAGAGCACCTTTGCCAGTAATTGCTTTATGACTGGGGCTTCATGGTCACAGTGCTGTGGGGGGTGCTACAGTGGGTTTGTCACCAGCCAGGAGATGTGATGCCTGCATCTCAGAAGAACATGAAAACAGGATATGGTAGTGATGGTTGAGGTTAGAAAGCCATCTTGTGTGTGGGTTAACCCACCATCTCCGCCCTTGGTAATGAATATAGACCTGGTGGGTACCTAAGTCCATCAGCTGGAGGACACCTCTGTTGGCCAGCAGAGAAGAAGGCTGCTCATTGGAGTCCTAGCCTTCTCTCTGCTGTGATGAGCTTCAGCAGGTATTTGTCTCTCCGAACTATTTTCCTCACCTAAAAATGTGGATGATGGTGCCAGGCCTCCCCCTTAAAGGCATTAGGAATTACCCCAGACTGTGGAGGACCAGGCCCCCCAGAACAGGCACTGCCTGGAGGGGTCCTTGGTGGAGACGGTCAGAGCAAGCACTCCCTCCACTCCTGGACCCTGTGCTCCCTGCCCTGCCTCCACCCCTCCTACAGGGGCAGCTCTAGCTCTTCCTTCCTGCATCACTAATGCCTCAGTCCAAAATGCCTACTGCAATCAGCAGGACTTCTGGCTCCCTGGCAGCCCCTGGAATCGGGGTCACCCCCTGCTCACCACGTCTCAAGGCAGTGCAGCCGTCCAGGACCTCTAATCCTCCCCACCCCCTGTAGTGTTGGGAACATGGGTGGGAGGGGCAGGGGGGAGAGGCTTAACCCTCAGACCCTGAGGCCAGACTCAAGGCAGCCCAGCCCCCTTCCGCAGTCCCCCCACCTTTATCCCATCATGTCTGGTACTTGGGAGCAGCAGAATCAGGGGTAGGAGCAGAGCAGGGTTGAGCCTGAGAACTTGCACCTCCTGGGGCTGTTATGTGGACAGAACAAAGTCAAGACGTAGAAGTCCTCTGTAACTTATGTGGGCTGTGGCAGCCTCTGTTGCTGGTGATGGTGTATGCCCAGGGGAGGGCTTGGGGAAAGATCTGCTTTCAGGTGTAGCAGATAAGGGCCCAGAGATACAGGGACGATGAGTGACAGAAGACATAAGGAAGGTAAAGAAGGTTCCATGGCTGTGCTGTCCTGGGTTGTCCTAAGGTGTACAAGGAAGGGCACAGCCTTTGTGTAGGGAGCTTAGAGAGAGGGCATATAACATAGGCCTTGGGTGGGGCATGGCCTGATGGGTGCCTGGTCCTGTTTGGCTCAGCCTGGCAGGCACCTGGTTAGAGAGAAGCCAGCAGCCCCAGCAGCTGCCCCTCTAAGGTCTTGGTCAGGCAGGCCCCAACCTGGCCCACATAGTGTACTATCCAGGCCTCATGAGTGCTCCTGGAGGGAGGGTGTGATGTGGTGTGGATGGAGAACCGGGCTTGAGGAGGTGGAGTGGCTTGCCCAAGGATGCACAGAGCTGGAGCAATCACCGAGCTAGTGTCCCAAGTGCCCCCAGAGCCCTGCTTTGCCCATCACACCACACTGCTTCCCTTGGTGTGGGCATGTGTAGAGGTGCCGCAGGGCCCCTGGCTCCCCACCTCTTCACATCCTCCTTTCCAGGTAGGGCCTCTGTCTCATTCCATGGAAGCCAGGGGCCGGCGGCTCCTCTATCAGAAGTGCTAAACTTTTAAGATGAATGCGCAAAGGAGGGTGATGGAAACTCCTAGTTAGAGACCAATTTCTTTTTTTTCTCCTCTTGCTCTTATTTATTTTTTATTTTTTTTTTTGATATTTGAAGCCAATTTAAAGATGATAAAAGTCAGTCTTGTCACCATAGAAAGGGTAGATTTCGTTGAGCAAGGAAGGTCTTGGTCCACGTGGCCTGTGTACAGTGGAAGTAGCTGTCCTCATGGGTGCATTTAAGCATGAGTGCAAGACCGTAGGGAGGGTCACATAGGCACTGCCAGGCCTGACCTGTGCTCATTTGGACTGGGGTGTGTGTGCCACGCTCCCGCACCTTGCCAACTCACAAAGGACAACTTGCAGTCTCCATGTGTCACTGGTTCTTGTCCCACTACTGCCATCTTTGGAGCCCCCACCCCCACCCCCAAATGTGCCCTGTGCTAAGTGTAGGCATTCTCTGAAGTCCTCCCCACGCCATTCCCCAGAGGCAGGTGCCAGTTATGGTCCATGTTTCACCAAAACAAAATCAGTTAAAGACATTACCAACTGGTCTCGCCAACTAGTGAGAGCCGGAGCTAGGGCCTTGTCAATCCAGGCCCCAGAGCCAAACTGTTAAGCCAGGTCTGGCCCACCACCCTGTGCACTCTCTTTCACTGTTGGTGATTGGTTCTCTCCATTTTGATGAGTGGTTCTGGTGAAACATGAGCCAAAAAGACCACTTGACTTGTCAAGCAGATTGCTAGGATCTAATAAACATACGGAGGTGTCTGACATTTAGAATCACCTCATCCTGTGACCATATTACAGAGGTTACACAAATGTACTTCACATTTTGGTTAGAAGGTTGAAAGCCACAGTGAAGGGGTGATCACTGGTATATTTCATTTCCTTCATAGAGCAGCGCCTAGAAGATTACAACTTTAACTTGTTTCCTATGTTCTGAGCCTATAAGTAATCATTTTCAGTATATTCCAAACATACCACATTAAAGTAGAATGTGCCTAAGGATAAACTAGGTTAGAGACTTTAAAAAGGTTTTATTTCTTAGTCACGAAAATCATATGCTCTTTGGTACGTGCGTGTTGGTATTCTATATACAAGGATACATGATTTATATGTGTCAGGCATTGGACAACTTAGTTCTTAAATGAGCAAAACCACCAAAGAATCCATTTCAGAAATGCTGCTTCGATTCATGATAGTCTTAAACTCTGCACGTTTTCCTAATATTCCGTAGACCCCTGGACTCCTCAGCTGACTAATTTGTTTGGGCCCACTCATGTTCTTTGGTGTTCCTTCTTCCAGGATTAATCAAAGAGAACAGAAACATCTCTCTCTATAAAGGCCCAACCCCAAGGCAAGACAGAGCCTCATCTCATTTCTATCAGGTGCCTGGTGATTGAGGTCTGAGCCATGCAGCCCAGCACTTACTTTCATGGCTGCTCTAATCTCTCTGCTTCCCAGTGGCCAGAGGAGTCTTCTGAACTGGGGAGCCTGGAGTATCACCTGCCCTCAGGAACTGTGTGGACACGCCCTCCCCCCCACTCCTTTGGCGTCCAGTTCCAGCCCTGTGAAGGAGAACCTGAGGTCTTAAGGGCCACACATTCCCTTGGAGCCAGCATTCTTGGGGATAGAGGAAGGAAAGCCCTTCTAGTTTTTAGAGCTTCCCTGCTGCCACACCCCCCCTCCACCCCCACTGAGCTTTAGGCCTAGGGGTTCAAGAGCAGAGCAGAATGTGTTCATGCCCGAGAAGCAGCGTCCCACACCAGCTACAGCATTCGGTGACTTCTCCATGAGAATGTGCAAGCCATAAACAAAGTCCTCCTCCTCCCTTCCAGAGCACACAGCTGTGCTCCCATAAGTTCCTGAGCAGTTCTCCAAGCCCACGTAAGGCCTACAGCTGGAACATGTTGGTGGCCTCCACATTGTGAGAGGCAGAATAGGTCTTAGAAGCATCCTCAGAAGACTTCCATTGACCCAAGACCCCCAGGTAAGGGAGGCAGCCAATATCCTTCATAAGTTTCCAGAAGTTCCTCCGAAACTTCAAGCCAACGAAGGCATAGAGCACAGGATTGAGGCAGGCCCGCAGGTAGGCGATGGCCTCTGTGATTATGATGGCATAGTGGAAGCTGGTCATGGTGTCGTGCTCCCATCTTGTGCTGCGGATGAGCTTCACAAGGTTGAAGGGTGTCTGTGTCAGCAGGAACACAGCCACCACCAGGAAGATGATCTTTAGAGACTTGTGCTTCTGGAAGCCTCGGGCATGTAGCAGGGTCTTGATTATGACTGAGTAGCATACAATCATGGCAAGCAGTGGCAGAAAGAACCCCAGTGTCATCTGTGTGGCAAGAACTACAGTGGATATGTCTTCGTCGTGATAACCACAGATGAGCTTGTCGAGATAACAGACTTTGCCATAGATGATCTGCGGCAGGGAAACCAGCAGGGAGATCACCCAGATGAGCAAGCAGATGGCCTTGCCCCAGGCCATGCGCTTGGCCTGCTGGTTGTAGGCCTTGGTGGCCTGAACCACGGCAATGAAGCGGTCCATGGTGATGCAGGTGAGAATGAGCATGGACGTGTAGAAGTTCAAAGTGTAGATGCCCAATAGGGTTTTACACATGACCTTGCCAAAGACCCACTCGTGAATGCTGGCATAGGCCCAGAAGGGCAAAGTGCAGACAAACACCAGGTCAGCTAAGGGCAGGTTCATCAGGAACACATCTGTCAGGCTCTTCAGCTTCTGGTAGAAGAGGTATACGACAAGCACCAGGGAGTTCCCCAGCAGGCCACAGATGAACACTACCACGTACACGCAGGGCAGAAAGAACTTGTGGAACTCCAGGAAGTGTTTGTGCCCCTGGCTGCTGTCACTGGACGTGTTGAAGAACTCGGAATCGATGTAGTCATCGTCAGCCATGGCATACGTTCACGTGAACACCTGGGAGGCAAACAGGGATTATGGTCAGGGCTGAGGGTGATGGCTTCTGCCCTCCTGCAAACCCGTTGCCCCCTTTTAGGGGGCAAACAGGCATCTCCTGAACCTACCTATGTTGTGCCCAGCAACAGCGTGGTCCAGTAGCCTGGAGACAGCCAGTGCCGAGGGGTAACTGCTCAGGCAGGATGAAAAACCCATAATTAGCCCCCAGAATCCTAAGGATCTCACGCACCTGGGAGATAACACATAACTGACCCTGCACATGATCTAGAAAACCAACTGGTCTTGAAAGCAAAGGTGACCATGTACTAGAGTGGGGGCAGTGCCCTTCTGGAAATGTAGAACTGCTCCATGGTGGGCAGGCCTGCCTTCCCAACCCATCCTGTGCCTCATTTACTGTGAAATTCGACCCCTGAACTGCTCTTTGTGGAAGCTAAGGCATTATCCCCTTCCAGGGGGCTCCACTGAGGAGACTTATGGAGACCAGAAGGGGCTTGGGGGATGACCAGGACTTTTCCACCTGGGGAGACAGTCCCACCTCTCTTTTCTTGCCCTCCACTGCCTAGATTTAGATGTGAGAGAAGCCAGGCACAGGAAGTGCGTGGCTGCCCAGCACTGTGACTGAGCCAGTGGTGGCCAGGGGGTCAGGCAGCTCTGCTCACAGCCCAGCCCAGCTTGCTCTCCATCACCTGGCATGCCACATTCCACCACCAGGGTCTGGTTCCCTGAAGACTTCCTCATCTTCAGGAATCTTTTAAGATCCCCGGAAGAGACCATTACTTTAGCTTTTGTGACTAGCAGCTTAGGTCCAAAGGGTCTCCCTTAACAAATGAAAGATCTGGTTGAAATGGGATGCCAGATGGGTGGGCCACTTTCAGGGGGGCCAGGGCCAGCCTTGCAGAGAGACTCGTAGCAAAAACCAGACAGCTGCCTTTCTTGCCTGGGGCTCCCAGCCTTTCAAGACCGTCACTTCCCTCTGGCATGGGAGCAGGGTTGGCTGTGGCAGCATGGGCCTTGGGGCACCAAGCCAGTGACGTGCAGATACCAAGAACCCAGAGGCTCATTTCCACTGGTGACCCAGGGCCATATCCCACTGGCACCTCAAGGTGTCTCAAGAAAAACAGGCATTTGGTTTAGCAAAGTCAGAATACCAACTGGCCGGATAAGAGCGTATATAAGGAGACATCATGTCTCCTTTTTAATCTAATGGAAGACTTGGCCTGACTGGAGATGGTATCAGCCCCGACGCTACCACCTTGGTCCTCCTGGGGACAGAGCACCCTTTCTCTCCAAGGAAGGACCTTGCCTTTGGGATTAGATTACTCTGGAAAAGTCCCTACTCAGACCGCAGAATGTAAGATGTCTAAGGGTGATAGGCTAGCTGTAGTCCTCATGCCCCACCAGCTCTGTGGGCTGCTAGGTTAGGTAGGTCAGATGATGATGTTTATGTTCCTGCTTCACGCAGGGACAAAAACATTTGTTTCACCACTTAGAATATGAAACAGGTGGCTTCACTTTTCTTGAAAGTCATATCAAATCTCCATTATTGCCTGACTTACTCTTGCCACAATTAGCATTGGCTGTTACTATCACAATGAATAGATGACCAAAAGAATGTGAAGTTGATCATGATTCTTAACTTTCTTTGATCATAAACCCTTTGAGAGTCTCATAAAAGCTGCACAAATTTTCCTCGGAGTTAACATGTACCCGCCTGTAGTTCTGAGAGCTTGTGAGCCCTTTGAGTCCCTCCGCCACATAGTCTGTGGAACCTTGAATCCACAATGATGGTGTGCACGGGTGGCTCAGTTAGTTAAGCATCAGACTCTTGGTTTAGGCTCAGGTCATGATCTCAGGGTCGTGAGGGTGTGGAGCCTGTTTGGGATTCTCTCTCTCCTTCTCTCTCTGCCCCTCCCCACCAAAAGAAAAAAAAAAGAATCCACAATGAGCTGTGTGATTTTGATTATATATATTTTATAGTATATATTTTAAATACATATATTTCTAAAATATATTTATAATTTGTGTATATACACACGTGTGTGTGTGTGTGTGTGTGTATGTATGTATCTTAAAGTAGGCTCTATACCCAACATGGGGCTTGAACCCATGATCAAGAGTCAAATGCTATACTGGCTGAGCTAGTCAGGCACCCCGATTTTGACTGTATTTTTTAAAACATTGAAAAAATGCACAGTTTAGCAGCAGTTTGCCTTTAGCTGTGAAATTCATAATGACTTATTTCCCTTCTCCCTTTACATTTTTCTGTCTGAAGTTTTTGCTGTGGCATATTGGCTTAACATTGAGAAAAGAAAGTAAACAGCTATCTGAGAACCTTTTATAATGCAAAAGAAACAAAAACCAAGAATCAGATTATTCACTGAGCAGATATGGCCAGTGGCTAGACTCTCCCCATCTCCTTGGAAGGCACTACCAGCACCATTAGCTTACAAGCACTTGTAAGCTTGTAACCTAGAACCTCGTTGAGTCACTTTCACAATTCTCTAATTGTGGTGCGGTCATGGAATTCGAACCGAGAGCATCGGCCAAGCTCTAAAGCATGGGCATTTACCCCGTACTTCACTGCAGGCAGGGATCAGAGGACCCCAGCAACCTGAGGTTAGTACCTGCCTTTTAACTCTAAAAATCAGAAGACTCACCAGCAGAGAGGCTCTGTCACTTTGTCCCAGAAATGAGCTTGTTTGAAGCAGTAAGGTCTGCCTCTCTCTCTCTCTCTCTCTCTGTTATGTGGTTCGTGTTTCCGTTGACTATCTTCTGAGAGCCCTTGGTTGGTGATCGTAAGGTACCCAGCCCTCCCCACCCCTACCTTGTACATCAGAATCCACATGACCAGCCTGTACCCATGTAACTTGGGGGCCAAAGATAGGAAGCGGTGGGTCTGATGTTCTGCACTCCCTGCTACCTGGCTGTGGACGTAATCATCTGTCAGGACCTAAGAGGGTTTTTATTTGTAAACTGAAGAGGAGCAACAAGTTGGTCTGGTTCAGGCAGCCCACTGAGGACGGTGGCATTTGTACCCTAACATTATTTCATTCACTAGTCTTGTCTCTTTGGAGCCATTTGGGTTCTGGACTGGCGCAAAGTTCATGCTGTGGCCTGAGTTCTGGGTATGCACGCAGCCCTAACATGATAGCCACTGCAGCCCCATAAAGTAGGTAATATCCCCATTTTATAGACAGCAACACTGAGGACCCTGGCCAAAATAACAGCCCCATGGGCACACAGCTAAAAACTGGCACATCCAGGAAACAAACCCAGGTCTCTGTCGTTGCCAGAGCACCAGAGGGTTTCTAGGAGATGGGTCAGCCATCTCCTAGAAGCCAGACAGCTTGACGCAGCTTTGCCACCTAAACCCACGTGACTCAGAGTCCTCTGGTTCCCTGACCCTGAAACACTGATGCTTCTGGGGAAGAACACCTGGAAGACTGGAGTCAGAGGAATGCCTGCTGGGGTCTATTCCTCAGCACCTCCCCCAAGCAGAAAAGGCTGCCAAGTAGAGGTGCAAACTCCACTTCTTTCCCAGAAGCAGCTGCCCTTGTGCTGAGTCACTGGGCCTCTCTCCCCTGACTCTGCACCCCATTCAGCCACTTCCTGTCATGGCTGGTCCAAGTCTGCTGGGCATACTGGCTCCTACGGCTCTTCCTAAGGGCAAGGTGTCAGGCACTGGGTGGGCAGCACCCAGCTGTCCAGCCCTCATCCTTTACAGATGAGTAAGCAGAGGGGTCAAGAGATGAGCACACTTGCCGAAGAACATTCATGCCCCTGGAGTCACCCAGCAGCTGTCTGGCTGCAGAGCCAGTGTTCCCTGTACTGCGTGCTGAGTATGGACCTATCCCAGTGTTTCTAGTAGAAACTTTAAAGGCTGCTAGTGGATCTTCAAGGCTTTTTTGAACAAACTAGTTCAAATCCTTCCACCACACTGATACAAACAAATGAGATGTTCCCTGAGGGCAGGAGCCGTGAGGCTATGTAGAGTGTGTGCCTCTGGACATAAGGCAGGTAGACACGGGGGCTAAGGGATGATGAACAAGTGGATGGGCCAATCCAAATACTGACGGAGGTAAGCCAAAGCACCCATCCTCTGAAAGAGACTTTTTAAGGCAAGACATCCCTTCCGGGTGAGCCAGCCTTTCATTTGGGAATCTTTTGGGCTTTGAGAGATGAGCTTTTCCCGGGGACAAGCCACTTGTGTCATTTGGGACCCGTTCACGGAACAGAGTTAGAACATCCTGAGCCTTATCAAACGCTCATGCGGCCATGCCCTCTGGTCTGGGAAGTGCAAGCACTCATCCTCCGTGGGAAGAAACAGGCCTCGCCCTGGCCCCTCCACAACTGTGTGCAGCCTTGCAGGGAGGGCGGGGACACGCGTCTGAGAAAGCACGGCTGCGTGGTCATCGTGGTCATCGGTCATCGCCACTCTCCAGCAGGAAGCTCTCCAGTCAAAGATTTGCAGCTCAATTGGAGGAGGGAGCCACCGCCCATTCTGGAGGCCAGAATCTTATTTCAGTCACTTCACAAAATGCCAGCTTGTCTTTTTTTTTTTTAATCTGCCCATTTGTAGCACTCAGCATTTTCAAGGGCATTACGACATTACTTTTCTTTGAAACAAAACTCAAAACTTAACGACAACCACCCAATCATATGTTTTAGATTGCCTCTGGAATACTTAACACATTTTCTAAATAGAACTAGGGGAAGAATAGACAGGAAGCAGCGGCCCTGCCCACTACAGGTTTATCTTGCAAGTCAGAGTGCATCAACCTGCTTGCTTTTCCAGAACACCCAACGTTCCAGAACCAGAGCCCTAGATGGACCTTCAGCCCCAGGACCCAGGAATGAGGCAGTCCCTGCCGCTGGCAGAAGCCTAACCACAAAGCACTGGTGGATGATGGGGGGCCGTGGAGGTTGAATTAGGACCCGAAAGCCTCAGAGAAACAGCCCAACCAGCAGGCGGCTCCGACTAGAGCTGGAGAGGCCTGCGCAGCCGCCTGGCTGTCGGCTCTGAGGTTGGGCCTGCAGGTTTGGGTGTTGTGGTCGGACCATGGTTACAAAGAAATCAGAAATCAAAATGCCAGAGGTGCTCTTCATCTCTCGGTTTTTAGGCAAAAAAGGAAGCCAGTGACCGAAAGAACTACCAGGAATTAACTTTTAATAGTAAAATGGCAAAATGCCCCCCAGATGCCACGGGGAGTGTGGTCCGTGGCATGGCTCAGCGCTGCGTTCCAAGCCCGAGCGGCTCACTAGCACCATCTACGGGACGGACCTGTCCCACACAGTGGCTGTTGAGCACCTGAGGTGTGGCCGGTGCAACCAAGGAGCCAAATTGTTGGCTTTTTAAAAATTGTGGTGAAGTTAGAATTCAGGTGACCCCATGAGGCTGGTGGCGGCTGTACTGAGCAGTGACTTGTAAACAGAGCCATCCTCTGACCACGGGTAGAAGCTGGCCTGGGGACTGTGGACCCTGGGTAATTGGGCAAAGCAGCGCTTCTCACCGTGCTCTTAGTGAGGCCGAGAAACAGCCTGAGGAAGGCGGTCTGTCAGCAAGACATTCGGACCTGAGGGGCTTTTTAGGCATCCTTTCTTCTTCAGCCAAACCCAAAAGCCAGAGGATCTGTCCCCCCGGCATTCTCAGGACTGAAGTTGTACAGTAATTCCATGAAAAAGCAGCTGAGGCATTTTGATTTGAGAGAGGAAGCTATTAAAGAGACCAGGCCAGAGGGGACACCCCACCCCATGACCCCTCATCCAGGCAGGCACGGGCCCCTGGACTGTATGGCTGGGGACTTCCCCACCGTCTGCCTTGTCCCCTGGCCACCACTTTATTCTCACTTGGTTCTAAAGTGGACCCTTGGTCATGTGCTCTGTTGGGGGCACGTGGGAAGAAAGCCAGCTCAGCCAGAGCACGTAATCTGGACATTGATTGAGCGTAGACAGCGTGCAGGGCGGCATCCCCGGGGATGCCAAGGTGACCAGCCCCAGAGGGACGGGAAGGAGTTGGCCAAACAGACGTGTGCCTTGAGACAAGTTCAGCTCTCCTGACCACAGACAGGCTCAGGGACGGAAACTCAGCAGGAAAGGGTGACATGCCATCAGCGGTCACCATCGCCAGCAGGAGGCTCCATGGCCCGAGCAAGGGGAGGAGGAAGGGCCCGCCTTGTGTAGTGCATTCGCCTCCACTGCTCAGAAAAAATGCCCCAATGGCAACAAAAGGAAACGCTTCTGGCAGGAGAGAGGGTGCCCCCTCGTGGCCGTGATTTTGTTCCGTGTCATCCTCAAGCTTGTTTCTCATCCTTTGACGGCTGGAAGCAGTTGCTCTTACGCTGCATCCCACGGTAAGGTACCCGTTTTACCCAACTACACAGGGTGTGCACGTCCATGTAGCACGAAGGCAGAGCAAGAGCCCTGCGACGCGGTACTGCCCTGACCACATGCAGTATGCTCCTGCTTCGGCAATTTCCATTCGATTTCTTCTAATGTGAGTCACAACTTGTGAAGCTGATTCACGAACCCCACAATGGGCCACAAACCCACAGTTTGAAAAGCCATCAAGAAGAAACCTCTGTGCCCTTCATCCTTAGCTAGGGACAGCATCACCGCCCCCTGCCCACCCTGCTTCCCACCCCACCCTCCTTCCTGTGCAGGGCCTCAGCCTAGGCCTGCAAGGATTGGGGACCTATCCTCAGAAGCACGTACTAGAAGGTCATCAGGGCTTGTCTGTCATCGTCGTCGTGGCCAGAGGGGGGGAGCTGTAGGAGGACAGGGAGTGATGGGTTAGGACATCGCTGGAAAAGCAAGAGGCTTCAGAGTTTGTTTTGTTCTATCAGATGTCATTTCTCTTTGTCTCAGACGGTATTTGCACTTGGCACAAGGATGAAGACAAATGGCCTGAGGCAGGCCCGAATGGCC